TATGCTGTAAGAGTTCCAAGGAATAAACTACTATTGACTCGACCACATAGGCAAATACATTACTACAACAGAAGTAACAAAGGAGGGAATCTAGATGAAGAAGTTCATCAAAGATGTGGGAGTCGTGTCGGGCAACGAGGAGCTAATTCCTTTATATTGTAACAACAATGATATGATTGTTCAAGCGAAGGAACCTAGGCCTTATCAGAAGTCGTAGCATGTTTTGAGAAGGTTCCATTTAATTAGAGAGATCATGGGTCATGCTAATGTAGCGGTAGAAAGAGGTATAAGCTTGACGTATTGGATGAACAAGACGTTGCACTTCGAACCCTTCTCGTGAGAGCCTCGAAGCATGCCTTAGGGGAGATAAATGATTAGGAGTACAACGTTAGCTAGTTTTCACTTAACACATGATTATTACATGTTGTCAAAGGTGGAAGTAGAATAAAGAGACCACCTTCCACCCATCTGTCCACGTAGGTAAGGGACTAGGGTAGATAGTTATAGATTGTGCCCTCGCCCTCTTATGTCATCCACATGTACAAGAGGCTAAGGGGAGGCTATTGGTGGCAGTTATAGGCTTTCTCTATATAGAATAGAATATTTTTTGCTTTTACGATTAAGTATAAATTTTCATCTTCAACACAATGAAAGAGGAGACCTTTTTGATTACTCGCATTCACACTCATATATTTGGAATTATTGACTTGGGCATCAAATGTGTTGAATTGTGAAACCTCTCTCGATTTCGACCTTCGAGTAGGTTGTACCTTAGGAGCTTGATGTTTCACCTCAGAGATACCTCGAATAACCATACACACACGAGTCGAATCATATTGAACCAACTAGGGCGTCAATGACTTCTTCCCCTATCACTTATGAATCCCAACAATATCAAATTATATAGCCTTTTAATATGTTATTTTCAAAATATTCTAGATATTTTTTTTGAACTCTTTCCCTCGATCACCCCAGCAGTATGGTTAACATGCAACATGTCATGTGGCACCCTTAATCGGTTGAAATTTTTATTTAAATTTTTTCTCAATTATTTTTTGATAGTTAGATGACACAATTTCTTTTCTCATTCTTCTTGATTAGAAGAAATCTCAAGTTAATCTCAATCCAAAAAATACTTTGTACTTCAGAGATTCTTATTCATAGAGTAATAGTCTAACTGTAAAGTGATTCATTGGACAGTTCCACAAATGAACCAAGCTGTGTGATTCGAAATTACAATGTCGTGAGCTCTCGTGATGGTTGCTGACACAAAGATAGATTAAATTTAATGTGGATGTCAATGTTAATGCCCGTTTGGATACTATACGGATACCGATATATCGACCCGTATTGAACGGTAATACATCGATCTATGCATATCATATTTGAGGGCTACATGATTAGGGAAAAAAATTATTATTGCAAGATAGATAAAAATTTTGGTATTGTTTGGAAGGATACTTTGGAGGGATAAGATATAGGCCATATACAATTATCACATATTAATCTTAATGCGTGCACACACACACACACGACCCACTTAGATTAGTTTAAGGTCACAGTCTTCCTTGGATGTTAGAGAGACGCAAAGCAAAGGATACAAAACATTATTTCCATAGGTGTTGGGATGCGACCTACAGTTCACAATGAACTGCAGCTTCAGATGGACACGCCTCTTAAGCCTGAGATAGACTTCATCATGGGCCTCCATTGTTGATAGAAGAGATCATTTTATGGCGTTTTCCATTGTGAAAAACCCTATAACATCTGCAACAGGTACAGCAAATGGCTCCTTGGCATGTATGTATACACAGACTCTTGGGAGTTTATGTGAAAGAGTTGCATATGGGGTTTTGAACCACTTTACCGAGCATTATAAATACTCCAAGATCAACTAACCATATCAAAAGTTCCAAACCCCTTGTTTATGCCCATCAATATATATATATATATAAATTCTTCTTTGTCCATTACAACAAAAGTCTCACACCCTTTATGCACCATCTCATGCAAACTTTGAATATTATATATATAATTATATAATTTATACCATATAATATATCTCTTATCCTACGAAGGAATAGTGGATGGATGTTAGCTTGGTTTTGTTAAGCTGAACGAAGACTTATAATTTCATTTCCACGAAGACTGGATGGATGAGTCAACACCCATCCCTCATCCCCCACGCAGCAAATGTTGACCCTCCACCGCCAAAGTGAAGCACACTTGGGTCAACCATTCGAATTCTGAGAACACCGGTCGTCATCAACCATTACTCGGAACAATCCAAGACTAACTTGAACTTTGTTTCTTCCTCCCTTTTCATCCTTCCGTATATGCCCAAAAGTTCTTCTCCGTTGTCAACAAAGCATGAGAATAATAAGAATAAGGAGGAGGAGGAGAAGAAGAAGACGTCGGGTTAGGTTCTGCTTTAGGTGTCTTAAAAGTTAATGGTGTTTTGCCTAACCCGTGAGAGAGTTGAGCAAGTTGGTCTTTGGCCTCTCTCTATCCATTAAAGTCAAACTTTTTTAATAACACTCTCGTGGGTGCATCAACTTATTCTCTCTCTATTTTTTTATTTTTTATTTATAATTTGATAAAAAGATAAATGACGAAGACAATATTCTAACCCGAAATTTTTTGCTAAATTATTGTTTTTTATTAGTTAATTTAATTAATATTTTTGAAAAATGTGTGTTGAGTTTTCGAACCCTTTTACCCTTTAATAATATGAGGAGCGTCTGATACATCACAAATTAAAATGGATTCCTTCGATGATATGGGTTGAGAAGAAATTTTGTCATCCATAGATAGTGTGGATTTTGGTATGTTTCATCGTTGACTGATAATGTTAGTTCTTGAATTAAGGAAAGAAATAGCAATGATCTTCTTTGTTGAAAAAAAAAGACATTTTAGTTTTGCTTGAATATATGAAATCAAGTAAGAAATTAGGATGTTATAGTATAAATAAATTATAATTATAACTTGATAAATAAATTTGAATTTATTTTCATTAATTATAATATGATTAGTATCAAATCAATCGTATTGGAAACTATGATTAATTGAAAAATAATAGGTATTTATTTAATTACTAAGAAAACTTGGAAAACTTTGTTCCTCGTTTATTTCACTTCACTGTCTCTCTATTGGAGTGAGTTTTTGAATATAGTAATGATTTTATTAAGTGATGTTACATACGTATAATTGAAGAGTCAATATGGTCAAGTTGAATCCTGAATGCATGGACCTATTCCTAAGACTTAGGTGGATGACTAGAGTGCGATTCAAGAGTGAGACTAAGATAAAAAAGACTCTCAGGGCTTTACTAGCTTGCGTCAATCGGCTTATGATTATTTTGAGATACGATTTGACTATTAAAGGACATTCAGAGTCGTCTTGAGAGGGAAGATGGCCTCATCATGTGATGCTTCGCATTGCCCTGAGGTGCACCTTAGATATGTCGGAGTCCTGTACAATTGGTTAGTGTCGGGGAACTTCCTGACTCGACTCTTCTGACACTTAAGTCTGTAAAGAAAATAAAGAGGGTTTAGACGAGCTTATGAGAGTTTTTTTTACTCCCTCTTTTCCATCTCATTCGATTGACTTTTATATCGGATTTGTTGATGGAGGGTGACTGCTCATTCCCCCCCTTAAGCTTCTCGTACCGTTTGGGGTTTATCTATGTCATTAGCTAGTTAATACATTTTCATGTTGGCAACATATGTAAAGGACATATATGGGAGTATCGTTTATTCGAAAACGGACAAAGGATAGGGATCGACATTAGGTACCCGAAGAGTTGGGTCATGTCAATCAAAAATTAATGTTCTATGTAATTAAGTATTTGACCCCTTTCGAAATCATGGCGAAGGTCGATGGATCGTTAGAGACTGATGGTGCAATCGAGGGGAAGCTAAGTGGTTTGGTGGTATCATCGAGGAAAAGCTGATAGGTTGAGTCCGATTGTCATAATTCAATGATCATCTCGTGTGACTTCCAACACGGTGAGATAGCATGAGCTTTTTTGGTTCCAAAGTGGCAGCCCACAATCAATTGAATTAGAAGTGCAATGCCTATGCCATTGTTTTCTCTAAATTAGAATTATATGGATTTAGTTATTAAATTATTATACATATGAAATCCTTTTTTTTTTCTTCTTTATTAGAAAAAGACTTTTTTTTAAAAAAAATTTGTTTGTTATGAAATCAATCAGAAATTAGAATATTATAGCATAAATAAACTGTCATTATAAATATATTAAATAAATTTAATTTATTTTCGTTAATTATATAATGAATTTCAAATTGGATGTTATGATTAGAAACATAAAAATCTAATGGATGTTTGTTTGATCACCAAGAATGGATAATCAGCTTTTCAATGAAATTTTTTTTTTCTTTCATAATATTTAATTAAATATCATGAATCTAAATCGCTAGAAAGAAAATATTAGAACAAACGAGAAAAACGTAGATGGAATCTTCATAAAATTATAGGAAAATATTTTAAAGTGAGCCCAATACACAATAATATCTGATGTGTAAATATTTATAATAGGGTGAATTAAAAAAATAATTTATATTCGAGTACCACACCGACACTTGCGAGACAACTCCACCATCCCATCGGTGGCGTTTGTCTTATAATACTTGGATTTGAAGACTTGGCCTTTTTCTATTCTCTCTCTATCTCATTCTTCTCGATCTCATCTCACTGGATCAATCATGTCATCCACCTATACGTAGACGACCTTTCGATACGTACACCGGTTTTGGACTTCGGCCATGCAGCGTTCCCCACAACTTCAGCTGCGGTCAGCTTTCATGCACTCCACCCACGTCCCATTCCCACCTTTGCATTACTACGACCCTAAAGGCCAAAGGAAACATGGATGATGCCCAAAAATGGTGGGTCCTCCATCCCCATGTCTCTACGTTGTGTTCTAATGGACTGCTTGTCTTTTGACCGCTGACCAGTGACGCCATCTCCCTTCGATATAAAGACGACACGGGAAGGAGGAAGGAGGAAGAAGAGGAAGGAGAGAGAGATGGGGAGGAGGAGAGAGAAGGGAGGGAGAGTGGATGGGCTGGAGGTGAAATTGCCGAGCTTCTTCCGGTGCCCGATATCGCTGGAGGTGATGAGGTCGCCCGTCAGTCTGTGCACCGGCGTCACCTACGACCGGGACTCGATCCAGCGGTGGCTCGACTCCGGCCACCGGACCTGCCCCGCCACCCGCCTTCCCCTCCCCTCCCCCGTCCACCTCGTCCCCAACCTCACCCTCCGCCGCCTCATCCACCTCTGGTCCTCCCCTCACCTCCTTCCCCCGCCTCCCCCGTCCTCCTCCCCCGACGACCTCCTCCTTGACCTCCGATCCTCTTCTTCCGACCCCCTCCCTCTCCTCGACCGTCTCTCCGCCTTCTTCTCCTCCCCCGCCACCGACGACTCCGAAAAGGACCGCCTTGCCTCCTCGGTGCACTTCGCCCCCGCCCTCGTCTCCCGTGTCGTCGATGATAACGCCGGATTAGAAGCCCTGCGAGCGGCAGTCAGGGTCCTCGCTCTGGTCCTGGGAATGGAGAGCCGCAGAGAACTCGCGATCGCGGCGCTCATCGCGGACCTCGATGGGTCCGTCTCCGCCCTCCTCAAAGTCCTCAAGAGCCGCGACGGGGCGGAAGAATACCGAATCGACGCGGCTACGGTTCTCGAGTCGATCCTGTCGTCTCCTTCTTGTGACAGCGAGAGGAGGATCTTGATCGTGGAGAAGGCGGATCTTTTCCCGGAGCTCGTCCGCTTGATCGACCCGCCCGACACGATGGACCCGGCGGCCGCAGACGCGGGGCTGCGGTGCCTGCTCGCAGCGGCCAAGGGGAGGCACGCGCGGGCGGGAATGGCTCGGGCCGGGGCGGTGCCCGCGCTCGCGAGGGCGCTGACGGCCGCGGAGCTGCCCGCCACGACGGCAGAGCGGGCGCTGAAAGCGATGGAGGCCGCGGCGAGAAGCACGGAGGGGAGGGCGGCGGTATGCGAGGCCGCAGAGGTGTGCGTGGGGGCGGTGATGGAGAGGGTGCTGAAGGTGGGGCGGGAGGGGAGGGAGGCGGCGGTGGCGGTGCTGTGGGCGGCGTGCGTAGCGGCGGAGGACCGGCGGGCGAGGGAGGCGGTGGCGGTGGCGAGAGGCGGCGCGGCGAAGATACTGGTGGTGATGCAGGGCGGGTGCTCGCCGGCGGCGGCGAGGATGGCCAGGGAGCTGCTCCGGGTCTTCAAGGTGGACGCCGAGAGCTGCAGCGTGGGCTACGACACCAAGACGACCCACATCATGCCTTACTAAACCTCTTTAATTAACACTTGGAATCCCTCATTAACATGTGGGGATTATAATTATTATTATTAGCACATGGAAACAAAAAAAAAAATACTTTATATTTGTTAATTGTAAATGCAAAGTGATTTAGGCTTATCAAATCATATGATTTAATCTAATCGGATTGATCGAGCTGGATACGTATCTAAAAGATGGAGGAGGAGCATACATCTATCTTATTTTGGAAATATATCGAATAAAATCTTAATATCTCATCTTTGGTAAATGAGCTCAGTACATCATCATCATCATCATCAAATCAATTAAATTGTTAATTAACTCTCTATTAATCCTAAGAATTTTTTTTCCAGCCCATTAATTTATTTGATCTTCCTATTCTACTGCGACATTTGTGATCCTAAGATTAATCTCTCGATTAACTCTCGCGGGTGGAGGGAACAGAGCGGCCGAAATCGCTGAAAAGGGTGGCCGACCGAGTGCAGGCTGCGCCGCGCCGCCTACGACTTGCTTGCTTGCTTGCCGCCGATAGGTCGTAGTTGCAGAGAGGAAGAAGAAAGAATCCTATACTACGTGATGATGACGGAAGAGAGTGGACTGTGGAAGAAAGGGTTTCCAAGGATTAGGATCGGACGTCAATATGGATGCCCCTCTCCTTTCTTTAAACTAATGGATAAAGGGTTTTCCCCTCACCCACCGAGTGCAAGTCAGGATCTTATAAGGAGGATTTGCAACCATTAAATCATAAAATGATTCCTAAAAGGGAAGGATTAAGGTTGTATACAATGTAGATGTGATAGATTCGTTAACGATGAGCAGTCTGCGAAGAGAATATTAACAAGTGTGCATTGAAATATTCTTTTTTTTTAATAATAAATTTTGATCATTCATTAGATATCATAGTTTGTTAATTGGGAAAGAGATGAGAGAAAAAAAGATGAATATATATTTTTTAAAATAAATAAATAATATATAATAAAATTTATTTTTATATAGGAAAGGATGTGGGAAATCAAGGTGTTGTAGGTAACAACCTTTAGAGCCGTGGCCTCGGGGTCGACGCGACTTGGTTTAGGTTCGGACGACGGAGATCTCCCTGGGGCGTTCCTCGAGCCCGCCGAGGTGGTCGGGTGCGGTGGTCCAATGGGGACGGGATGGCCGCTTCCTTCGGGCAAGAGCTCCTCGCCTATGCGTTCCGCGGGGACCTTCGGCTTCACACCTGCACAAAGGTCGAGTCAGGAAGCTCGACTCGACCCCTCCGACGATCAAGTCAGATGGTGTGAAGGGGGTTTCAGATGAAGATGTTTTTTTTGTGTGTATGTTTTTCTCCTTCTCTCCCGTTCAGAATGCGCAGGTATTTATAAGGAAGCTTACTGTTTCCTGATGTGCCCGCTTGCAGGGGCAGGCTGATAATGTCTGAGACTAGTGTTGGCGTGGCGTGAAGAACCGAGCCTGAGCATGCGTTAATGCGCCTCAACCGACGTTCTGATCCGTTTGACCAGGTGTTGTCACGTCGATCGAGGCATGAAGCGTCATCTGACGTCAGTCGAGTCTTATCATAATTACTATCCTCATCATAAGGTCAAGATCAAATAACATTAGATTCAAGAATGATGAGGCATCAAGTTGTTTTCTCACCTTTTCCTCCTTTTTTTATTTATGTGTTTATTTTACATTAGAACAAAGAAAAGAAAAAGATTTGGAGAAGCTCTGCTCCACCAAAACTTCTAAAGGAAGTCAAGATGGTATCTCATGGAATTTACGATCAAGTATCTCTTGGGGCCCTGATGGAGTCAAAAGTTATGCTTGTTGTGCCCTTTCTTTGCTCATCACCCTCTGCTTTTTCTTTCTCCCCTCTCTTTCTCTTTGTTCTTTTAGATTTCCCAGATTGAGTTCCATTCCACCAAACTTTTAAGAAAGTTGAGATGTTGGACTCGGAAGTTTCTGCCTGCCGGCATTCCTTTCATTCATTCTCCATCTGTGTTTATTCGAGACAAATGTTATATGGGAATTCCAGATTTCACTCCACTTGTTTTCAGCTACTTTTGCCATGGCCCATGCTTTGACTCCAATCATTGATGCAGAGGCCACCACCATATCTCCATCTCATCCCCAAAGAATCCATGCAAAACCTTAGCTCATGACCGCAGATGCAAAGGCTTAAAGAAAGGAAAAAAATACAAAGAATGCTGCAGAGAAAGCAAAAGCAAAAGTCTGCAGATATCCCAGCAAGGTGTCCCATCTTTAAATGTAGTTCTGAGGTGCAGCCTCATCGAGATTCATCTCCATCCGGCAAAGCAAAGAAGATGCCCTGCAATCCATCCAAGGAAAAGAAAAAGGAGGTCAAACAAGGCATCAGAGAAGGACTCCCTCATGCCCAGGGAGAAACTTTGGCTTCTTCAACAGTGGACTCAAGTGTCCTGACTATACATGATCTTTTTTCTCACTATTTAGTTCCTTGTTGGGCAATGTCTTTAGTTAAATCATAATGATGCAATTCAAGAAACCACCAGAGAGTCTAATGACATTAGAGACGAGCAATATATATAAAATATAGTGGGAAAAAAAACACTAATGTATGTTATTAATGTAGGGATGGATTATGAGCTTCACTTAATTTTAGAATGTAATTGCTGATATGTGCTGCAACACTGTGCAAACTACAGGGATGTCTCAGCAGTCTTTGTTAGGCTAATTTGACCTGCAAGATCTCAACTAAGTTTACTTTAGTGATCAGAATGCACTGCAAGGACATACACTAATTCTTACAGTATTGCAAATGCCAATACAAATAGATGTTTCTAGCAGCTGACATAGTGTCTTAAAAGAACTCGGTTCCTGTTAGGGTTAAGAGAACTCTGACCTGAATGGAGGTGGTGCATGCAGCCTTTTCTCGGATTGATAGAGTCAGGCTTTCCATGCATTGATGGAGTCGGGCTTTCCATGCAACCACAAAGGAAGTTGCCTTTGCATTCACTCCTCTGGTATAAGAACATGGCTTGATGCCCTAAAACTTGCGGATTTCCAATAACATCAGTGATGCAAGTTGTTAAACAGTTGTGTGTAACAATTGGAAGGAGAAAGAATTAAGCAGAAAGAGACTTTTCGACTAAGAGCTGAATTACAACGATTTAAACTTCAAAAACAGCTAGTGAAGAACAATGCGTTCAGGCCTTGAGGCCTGTGTAACAGTTAAGTGTTACCCATAGCATTCCAGTTATACCAGAGGATAAAAGCAACTACTGAAGGCAACTCATCTTTTGGCGAGGATAGAATTCATGTTTCACCCTATCTTGTATAAGACATTCAACAAAGAACGAACTCTCCGCATGCTCAGTTCATCCTTTCATTCCATCGATTGCACAGTAGGAGCCAGTAGCATCAGTAGAAACTCTTCACTGTGGATAACAGCATTTGGGGATGAAATTGGTGAGGCAATCTGCGGCAAAACCAGTCACAGGCTATACAGCAGCAACCTGTAGCAAGACGGGTAGTGACCAATGTCTTCAGGATTGCTGCTGGTATCAAATTCTTGTCTGAGTGATCTAAAAGATAGTCAAAGATCCAAACCATTAACTGGAATGACATAATAGCCCAAAAGACAGAATGACCTGTTGGCTCTACAACATTATTTTACAAGTCAGAAACATGTTATCAAGTGAGGTTTGCAAACTTCCCCATCATCTCAAGAATCTGTGGTGATAAAACTCATCAAAGGACATGCGTTTTACTGAAAAAATATAAATATAAGGAATGTTAGGAAAAAAAGGCTTAAATAGTTTATATGAACGATATGAAAAACTGAGGTTAAAGTGACACACCTGGATCTTCACACAAGAGCCTAGTGCATAGGTCAAGGGAGTCAGCATGAAAGCTAGAGAGAATGGACTGCGAAAATGGCAGCGAAGAACTCTTCCTTATATTCTGTAGAAGCTGGAAGAGAGATCATATACCAAAGTAAGAAGACATCATGTCAACTGTAATTGAGAGAATATAATTATTATTAATAAATGAGATACCTGAACATTGTTTCGGCCACAATATGGTGGATGCCCATTCAGAAGCTCAAAAAGAATTGCGCCAAGACTCCACATATCTACCTGCACAACAAAGATATTTAATTTTCTTATCAATTCAGTAGCGAATATAAATTATGATACCTTTTACCTTATCATCATACTTCTGGAACTGCATTACTTCCGGAGCCATGTAGAAAGATGTTCCGCAAACCATGTCAATGTGCTGACCAGGATGAATAACTCTGTCCAGAAGTTTCAGAGATTGGATAAAGGTTATTGTAGTTTGTGGAATAATACATTGCAAATAATAGTTCGTATACTTATTTGGACTAGCATTTGATCCAACGATGGTACCTTGCAAAGCCAAAATCAGCTATCTTTAGCACTGCATCGCAGCTGGGAGCAGAGAGCAGTATATTCTGTTCATCATAAATTTTACCGTGAGTAGCAAATCAGAAAAAAGTGGTTACCAGATGAACATGTCCTAATGTGCTTCGGCACCTCAGGTTTCAAGTCCCTATGAATAATATGGTGAACGTGCATCACCTCCATACCAGCACCTGCAATGAGGAGATAATATGCCCCTCATATCATGGCCCTGACACATACAAAAGAAATAGATCTTTCCAGATTGGTTCTGTTAGTCTACTCATAAAATGAGATACCTAGCTGTCTCATGAATTTTCTGACTGTGTCTTCGTTGAGATGGCCAGTGTGTTGAATGAAAGTGGCTAAATTTCCACCTGGGCAGAATTCGAAGATAAGGAATATGCATCCATCATCCTGAAATGGTAGTAATAAATTAAACATCCAAAGCTTTTAAAAAGTAGGAAAAATGGACGAATTTTACTATTATTTCTTGTAAACAAGAACAACAAAGAACTTGACTAATGAGCTCATGTCACAATATGCAGAGCCTACTTGATTCAAATACACTACTTCGACGAAAAACAAAAAGGATGATGTTCTGGGGGGTGTCGGGAGTTCTTTTACATTTCCACAACACTATCCAGTAAAATAGGCAGCATTCCGGAAATAGTTTCTATCTGAATTTTGAGCACACCAATTAATGGTTTGTGAAGCAGAGTACCAAATCAAGATTCTCATAGAGACACGAGAGTGGAAGCTAAGAAGCGAGTAGATCATGCAAGGAATTATTTTGTTTGTTTAATAGGACTGTTTGAACAGATACAGATGGTTGAGGCTAATTTCATGAAGATGGATGGTGATGACCATCACCTCCGAATCATTTCTTGGATCTCTAAGCACCTACCTTTAGAGAAACCTTTTTAGTAACATAGCTGGCATGATGATCTAGTCCTAAAATGTGATATATACAAAAGCACGGATATCCATATTTTAAAGAAAGACACAGAAACTTTGAAGATTCATCCACTACGAAGCCACAGAATTACCCTTGTCAGCTACAGACTGAGTACCAAATAGAAGGATTAGTTGGTGTTCGCTTATTTATGCATTGATGCCTCTCACAAGAGATTTCAGCAAAGAATTATTTGCTTCTTCTGATAAGAAGCCTGATGGCGTCTTCAACAATTGCATGCAAATCTTTGACTTCCTTGGATTTCTCCACTAAAATCACAACTTAAGCATGGAATCCCCAATTAGTTACTCTAAAAACCCTTTAGAAGCTTCAAAACCCTATTTTGACGTGTTATGCGGAGAAAGAGCGAGTGGATGATATTGGGGACCTGGATCACATCGAGTAGGCGGATGATATTGGGGTGCCTGACGCTGGCCAGGAAGTTGAGCTCACAGTCGAGGCAGTCCCTCAGTTGCCGGCTGAGCCCCGAGAGGTTCACCTGCTTCACCACCACGTCTCGGCCGCTTTTCCGGTGCACCGCCCGCCACAAAACCGACGCGAGCCTCTCCCTCACCTCGAAATCGCCGGCGATGGCAGTATTCGTCAGTCCCTCCGCCATCATCCTTTTTCCTGTCTCGTCTGCAATGCAATCGCAGATACCCGTCACCGGTATACTGCTGTGCAAGCGGGGGAAGGATATATAGCGGGCCGAACAATAGGAAGAGACCCAATTAAGATGTGGTGGAGGCCCATCGTAATCCTTGAAATCGTCATATTCTATATTTATGACGTAATCAGCCTAATCGGATCCCTTCAGAACAATCGTATAATTAATTTCTACCAACTCCACTATTTTAACCCCCTAAAACAAAGAAAAAAGAAAAAGGAAATTAGTATTGCTCCATACGCTTTTCCATGGAATATTAAATCGACATTTTGAAAAAGCAAAAAAAAATAAAAGAGAGAATAACTACACACTCATGTCTCCTAATCAACATTCATCGAGACAAGGATGTTCTATTGCAATAGCCGAGCTGAGGGGGAGAAGAGTGAGAACTACCTCCCTACTTTTATCACAGGAAAGGATACTCAATCATGCATGCAGTGCCACTTCTCTTTTCTTGGAGTACTCTCCAACTAAGATGCAAAAGAAGGGTGAATTGGTGACCCAATGCCAGCAGCTTTGGGCACCAAAGTTGGCTATAAAAAGGAGCGAGGGAGTGGTGTGAGGTGTAAGCTAATAAGAGTTCCTGAGAGGGTCCGTAGATCAATGATGGGTGCATTGGGAGAGAGGAAGGCGTTCATGGCCTGCCGCTTCTTCTCACTTGCCATTGTGCTCATCTCTCTAAGTTTGCCCCTTCAAGCACAAGCATTCCACCACGACCATCCTCCCAAGGAGCACCATCATCACCACCCTTATCCACACAACTCACCACCACCACCTCCTTCGCCTCCTTACCACTATAAATCACCACCACCACGTACCCACCACCACAAGCCTCATTTGCTTCCACCTCCTTACCACCATATATCACCACCACCACCTCCACCTACCCACCACCACGGGCCTCCATTGCTTCCACCTCCTCCTCCTACATATCATCACAAATCACCACCTTCATCTCCTCCGGTTTACACGTCGCCACCACCTTCATCTCCTCCAGTTTACAAGCCGCCACCACCTCCACCTACCCACCACTACAAGCCACCATTGCTTCCACCACCACCACCTCCTCCTCCATATCATCACAAATCACCACCTTCGTCTCCTCCAGTT